TATGTATCTATGTATCTATGTATCTATGTATCTATGTATCTATGTATCTATGTATCTATGTATACATAGATAGGTATCTATGTATCTATTACAATGTATTCTTATATTAAGGAACTAACCTTATTAACTACATATATACACTCATTAAAATTGTTTACCTTAACCTATCTAAATATATGCACATGCATGGTTGTTTACCTACGCACAACAGCTACGATTCTGACATGACCAAGTCAATTTAGAAACGTCATACAGATCGCTTGCTCAGCGCGTGGTATTTCCCAGGTAAATCCCAAATCGCGATTCTCGCCCGAGTATAAATATCATGGCCTTAACTAGACTCGAGCTCAGTTCCCTAGCCTTTGGGCAAGCATTCGGTGGCAAAAGAATATTTCACAATTCAGTATTATTCTAGAAGAGCTGTTAAGTGTTTCACCAATCTATAAAAAATTACGGTAACTAACCTAACACAGATATTCGCTCGTTTGGCTGAAATACTTTGATAACCTTGATATTTGTTATTGTTTTTGCTCGTGTTTTATAATGTTTATAAATTATATTATTCGTCTCATAAAGGTATTGTGCTCGTAACAGATAACAGATACCACCGACTGCTCCACATAATCTACTACAAAATTGAGTTATGAGTGAATTACATAACATTGTACGCTCTAGACTTTTATACACAAATTATTTATTTTTTGTATGAAGTTAAAATTCAATACTATTAAATATTTGCATACAAAATAAATTTGGTAGAGTTAATTACTGTAAATAACTTTTGATTTTGCTTCATTTAATTGGTCTCTCTTTCATTCCATATTCGTGTTGAGCAGTGTACCCTTTTTAATAAGTGTCTGATTGCCGTCATAATTTTTGTTCCGCTACTCGCAAAAATTCCTATTTGCGCACGCATGAACTAGTTTCAGCGAACCAGTCTTTTGGTTATTATTTTATTTTGTTTGTTTCTGTGTTGAGGCCTACTAAAAGTTTTATATATTTATATAAAATATTTATATAGGTGTAATAATAGTTGTGTTTAGTTTTATTTTGCCTTCTTTTGGGTAGTTCTTGTCTTCCGAAAACCACATGTGAAACTGCAATGCTGAACCGGTTCCACAACTTTTTATCATGAAGGCGAAGTTAAGCTAAGTATAGATTGCATATAGAGTTGAACAAATGGCTTGCGAACTAGTTCATATTGGTTAGTGTATTATATCCAATCTCCAAATCAATATAAAATAACATATTTTACTTATATAATTAAAAGGTTCCTCCTAGTTCCATTAAGTTTAGCTATTTCAATGGCTCCCCAATCAATCAATATATAAGAAGTTCTTATATACATTTATTATAGTTCATTGCAACATTATATTAGATGAGTATTTGATATATGTATGTATGTATATATATCAAGGGTCAAGGCTCGTCTCTTTAATTGATTCCTGGCATATGAACTACAGTTCGCAGTGCGTTGCATATAAAAGACCACTTAAGATCGGCTCCGTATAATTATCTATATGCTGACGAATCTCACAAGGAACACAGAAAAGGGGAATTTATCTTAGCCGAGGTAATTCCCGCTTTCTTTGCATGCTGCGTGATCTGTATACGTAATGCAGGCCGAAACACGGGAAATATATTTGCAGCAAAAAATGGAAAACAAAAAAAACAAACTGGATTCGAGCTCCAAGAATTTTGCGCACAGTCACCATCTAGAGGCGGTTAGTCTGGTGCCGCAATAGTTCGCATGTCAACGACGAGGGTAGGCGTGGTCGCACGAGAGGCGTAACTGAACGATAAGGCGAAAGCAACTAACGTGTGCTGTTTGCTATCATTCAGATTTGTTTATACCGAGCAGATGGTAAAATGATTGTTTTTTATCAGTTTTGTTGTTGTTTTATATTCGTCAACTCATTGTTTTTCTTTTTGTCTTTCGTATTTTATTTTTGCTCTCGTCTAATTTAATTGGCGACTCTTTTTTTCCGATTATAAACCGTTTTACGATCGTCGCGTCAGGTTCTTATAGCAAGTGTTTGCCTTTGCCTTTGCCTTTATGCTTAACGATCCGAGTTGTCGCGCGCGTGTGTGTGTGTGTGTGTATTCATATACGACTTTATGACGACACTCTGGTAACCGAGGCCTCGTCGCAGGCGCCTTCTTACTGGTTTCAGCAGTTCCAATTTCGATCGCGTGCTGTCGAGATGCAAAAGCATTTGCTACCGGCTGCCTCCAAAAAGACTCAGCAATCGCATCGTGAGCCCGCGAGCCCAGCTTGTAAAGCCCATTAAATATAAAAATATAACAAGAATTTTAAATCGAAATCAAAAAAAAAAGGAAGACAAGAATTTAATGCTTAACATTAGCATACAGAAATCGTGAATATATATGCTATACTACTCTATATATAGGTAATTGTTCAGCCAAAAAGTGTTTATACAGATTGTGCAACACAATAAGAATTTTTGAAATTTTTATATGCATGTAATATTTTGCATTCGATTAAAAATTGTGTAAAGTCCATTTCGAAAACATAATTAAAATAAGAGAATTATACATATATTGAAATTTTTGAGTTATTGAGTTTGTAAGTATTTTTTAAAGGCGGAAATTAATGCATATTGGAATATATGAATTCGTGAATATATGTGTCAAATATTTATGAATATATATTTATAAATCATACAATATATTCATATATCATATATTCATGAATTTATATATTCATAAATCATATAAACATATATACCTATTAAAGATAAGGACAAAGTTCCATTCTAATAACACGAAGAGAATTAGAAATAATTTTATATGTACATATATACAGATAAGTTTCAGGATTTCAATATTTAGTCTGAACAATTTATATATGCTTATAATTTTGGTATATATCAAATTTATAATAGCCGATTGTTCTCTGAAATTAGTTCACTATTTCTCACCTAAAATTAAAAAAAAAAAAAATAATTGTAGATTCATTCACATTATTAATTGTTCCAAATTGAATATAATCTATTTGACTCTTATCATTAGCATATTGAGTATACACAAAAAATGAAAAAGATTATATATATATATATATTATACAGTATATGTATTGCCCATATATTGGTAATTGCTGGGATCTAAGTGCTAGTAAAGATTACGCTTCAATTGGTTTGTTTTGTCGTGCTTGTTTGCGAAGCGAGCAGAGTTTATTGGCTTGATGGAATATTCTGTCTGACAAAATTGCTTCTGCATATATGTATATAATCATAAAGTTTACATCCACTTCTTATAGAGTATTAAGATTTTACGGAAGCCTTGGCATAGACACATGTAGAATAGTATATAACTATATTGGGCTCATTAAAAAATCAATTATTGTTTGAGATTAGATATGGATATATGTATATTCGTATATCACATAGTCCTATCTATTTATAGCTAATACTTATAGCTCAATGAGGTGAATGGCCATAAAGCAAATATATTTTACAATTTTCCGGGTAGAAACGAATTTTGTTGTCGAACTAAAACCTGGAAAAAAAAATTGACAATTGCTTACTACGAAATTGTTTAGCTATAATCTTGACCTACTCAATAGCTCAACTAAACTTTCTATAGATGAATATGCCTAGGTTGTGCAGAGCTTATCTGGAACAAATAGAAACCACAATATGAATATCTCCTTCATAGACTCAATTAAACTTGAACTTGATATAACTGGAAATATGTCTATAGAGTAGAATGACTAAAGCGATCCAACATTTAGGCTCTTAGATCTAATTCTAGACTATGGATCGATTCAGTTAAAGCCACCATGAGCGAGTATCATGCAGTCGACTACAGCCCAGAGTCACGTTTTTTTTACGTTTAGTTTTGCGTACTATTGATCGCTTTGTTTTCTGTTTCATATCTCACTTTCGAATTGTTTGTAATTTATTAATTTATGGATGCTTTTCCAGTCTCAATTTGCTGCAAGTGTTCAATCAGCAGTTTATCAATTTCTCAATTGATCAATTGATCCAGTTGCAACAGTTTTTCAACACATTTCGTTTAAATTGTCTTGGGAAATATGCCAATTTCGATCTCTCTTTCTCTCTCTCTCTCTATCTCTGTCTCTTCAATATTCGTATATAAAAACTTAATTATTGTGTGAGTGCTTTTTTTTTTGAGTGCAATAAAAGGCGCGCAACAATCAAACGCGATCTCAATTGAAAATGTGACTTCGAGCCATGAATTAAGTTTCGAAATCCATTTCACAGCTCATAATATCAAATATTCGAAACGAAAGTACAATCAAAGGATCTCAGAATGCCCGCATTGAAGAAACGCGACACAACGTTGCCAGATCTGGGCGATTTTCGTGTGGAGAAAGCGAAAGGTGATGCCACAACGGATACGGATAAAAAGTACAGTTTCTTCGATCTGGTAAGTGCATGAACAAATTAGCACCGAACATTACATCAGAATTATGGCTCTGCATTACTAATTGCCACATTTAGTTAAATTTATACAACGCTCCATCAGTTTATTACAACTGGAATTGTAATCTGACTGCATTCAGCAATTAAATCTTTTTCACCTGTAAGATTTATGTATATTTTAGATATAGTGTATAATCAGACGGCTAAGGCAGCTGTGAAAGATCATGTTTTATGCAGTAGATTCCCATTCAATGTGTAAAAGTAGAGAATTTGTATTGTAGAAGATTCTAGGGTATTTGTTAGTTGACTATTTTGTTTATTATTCGCAATGCCTACGCCTATTGGCCCGTCTGTCCGTTTGTCTTATGTAAATACTCTATCTAGTCAATAAAGAGCTTAATTAGCAAATCATTCAAATTACAATAATAATCACAGTGATAATAATGAACACATGGATGATGATTATGGGGTGTTCGTAATTAGAATAAATATGCCCTTTATGGTTAATAATTACTGTGATCTTTGAATCACTGAATGATCATTAAATGATAATTTTAATAATGATGTTCATCATGATAAGGATTGTTATAATGATCATTTACCCTATCACCATTAAACGGCCAAGTATTTGTCAATATTAATTAAATGATGTGCATCAGCTTTCATTGATAAGATTTCCCTGTTTATATTATTGATATAAACTATCCATCTATCTCTTTTTTTATTAAATTATTTACTAAAATTTTGCACATTTCTTTCACAGTTTCGCTACTCAACCGTTGTGGAGCGTTTTCTCATAGTTTTTAGCATGATTGTGGCCACGCTAGCTTCCATTCTTATACCCTATTTCATTGTGATCTATGGAGAATTCACATCTCTGCTCATTGATCGCGCCGTGGTCGAGGGCACCTCATCGCCTACATTCATACTGGCGCTCTTCGGGGGCGGCAAGCGACTGTGAGTACTATTATATAGTATAGCATAGTTAAGAATATTTGTAATAGAGTTTCATTTCCCTATGCAGCACCAATGCGAGCGATGAAGAGAATAGGCAGGCGATCATCGATGATTCGGTTGCCTTTGGCATAGCGAGCTTGGTGGGCTCAGTCGTACTGCTGGTGCTCATGCTCATTGCCATTGATATATCGAATCGTGTGGCACTCAATCAAATCAATCGCATACGCAAGCTCTTCCTGGAGGCCATCCTGCGGCAGGATATGTCCTGGTATGATACCACATCGGGCACAAATTTCGCCAGCAAAATGACGGAGTAAGTGGGCAGCTACTTGGTGATGGGGCATTCAAATATTAACAAGTCTCTTTTACGCTTCGCAGAGATTTGGATAAGGTCAAGGAGGGCATCGGCGAAAAGGTGTGTATGAAAGTGGATTCAAGACTTCCCGAGATCCTTTGCTAACTTCTCTCTTCCACTGCTCCTCCAGGTTGCCATTGTTACCTTCCTCTTCATGACCTTTGTCATGGGCATTGTGGCCTCGTTCATCTATGGCTGGAAGCTGACGCTGGTGGTGCTCACCTGCAGTCCTTTCATTATACTGGCCACGGCCATGGTGGCCAAGATCCAGAGCTCCCTGGCTGAAAAGGAATTGAAAGCCTATTCGGATGCCGGCACAGTCGCCGAGGAGGTGTTCAGTGGCATTCGCACCGTCTTCGCCTTTAGTGGAGAGCGCAAGGAGAATGAACGCTTCTCGAAGCTTTTGATACCCGCTGAAGCCACGGGTCGCAAGAAGGGTCTCTACTCGGGCATTGGGGCGGGTGTGATGTGGCTCATCATCTACTGCTGCATAGCCCTTGCCGTTTGGTACGGCGTCAACTTGATCCTGGACGATCGCGGCAAGGAGGACCGTCAGTATACGCCCGCAGTTCTGGTCATCGTCCTCTTTGCCGTCATAATGGGCGCCCAGAATTTGGGTTTCTCCTCGCCACATGTGGATTCGTTCGCTGTTGCTTTTGGCGCTGCACGGAATCTCTTTAGGATCATTGATCGCAAGTCCGAAATCGATCCATTGGATGAGTCCGGCTTGAAGCCGGAGGGCATAACAGGTCGTCTGCGGTTTGAGGATATACACTTTCGCTATCCGTCCCGGCCGGATGTCGAGATACTCAAGGGCTTGACGGTGGACGTGGAGCCGGGGCAAACGGTTGCTTTTGTGGGCGCCTCGGGCTGTGGCAAGAGCACAGTCATTCAACTAATGCAACGTTTCTACGACCCGGAACAGGGTCAGGTGCTGCTGGATGGACGCGATTTGCGCAGCCTGAACGTGGGCTGGCTGCGCTCCCAGATTGGCGTTGTCGGCCAGGAGCCGGTGCTGTTTGCCACCACAATTGGGGAGAACATACGCTTTGGCAATCCACTGGCCACCCAGTCGGACATCGAACGTGCGGCACGCAATGCCAATTGCCACGAGTTCATCACCAAGCTGCCCAAGGGCTACGACACCCAGGTGGGTGAACGTGGCGCCCAAATGTCTGGCGGACAGAAGCAACGCATTGCCATTGCCCGTGCGCTGGTGCGCAATCCGAAGATTCTGCTGCTGGACGAGGCGACATCCGCGCTGGACCCCACCTCCGAGAAACGTGTACAGGACGCACTGGAGCTGGCCAGCCAAGGGCCAACCACCCTCGTTGTCGCGCACCGCCTGTCGACTGTGACTAATGCCGACAAAATTGTGTTTGTCAAGGATGGCAAGGTGGCCGAGCAGGGCACGCACGACGAGCTCATGGACAGGGGTGGTTTGTACTACGATCTGGTGAACATAACCCGCCGCAAGGAGGCCACCGAGGGGGCAGACGAGACGGCCGGCAGTGTGGCGAAATTGGCATTGACCAAGGGCAGGGAGGATGATATCATGGTTGCTGACGATGACGATGAGCTCGAGGAGGACGAGGAGTACGAAGAGGACATCGATGAGACTGGCGCTGCCGCGGCAGAGGTTAACAGCAGCAAGGATGACGTATTCAGCGTTACCTCAGCCAGCAAACGTAAGTTGCAAAAATTGATGTACCTTAAATATATCCCATATATCATTTGAAAGTCTATTTCTCACCCTTTTACTGCTTTTATATCTCTCTCTCACTTTAACTTTCCTTCTGTATCTCTATATTCGTTTCCTTCCTCGTTCTTCTTTTGTTCTTCCCTTGTCTTCTCTCTCTCTCTCTCTCTCTCTCTCTCTCTATTTGTCATTTTCTCTTTCTCTCTCTCTGTCTTTCACTCTCTCTCTCTCTCTCTCTCTCTCTCATTCTCTGTCTGCCTATCTCACCCTATCGATCTCCCTCTATATTCCCATTCCAGGTCGTTCCCAACGTCGCAAGAAGAAGAAGAAGCAGCCAAAACCCGAAGAGCCAAAAGTCTCATTCATGCAACTGATGAAGCTGAATGCACCCGAATGGCGTTACATAGTCTGGGGCTGCATTGCCTCCATCATGCACGGCATCACATTCCCATTGTGGGGCTTGTTCTTTGGCGACTTCTTTGGCATTCTGTCCAACAGCGATGAGGATCTGGTGCGACACGAGGGCAACAATATTTCCTACATTTTCATTGGCATTGGGCTGATGGCCGGCGTGGGCACCATGATGCAGAGCTATCTGTTCACCACGGCCGGCGTCAAGATGACAACGCGCCTGAGGAAGACGGCCTTCAAGACAATCGTCGCCCAGGAGGTGGCCTTCTTTGATGACGAACGCAATTCCGTGGGCGCATTGTGTGCCCGTCTCGCTGGCGACTGCTCCAATGTGCAGGGCGTAAGTCTGCCTCCGGCAAGGATTAACAATTGCGACTCATCTCTGAGCTTGTTTTGCAGGCAACGGGCGCACGTGTTGGGATTATGCTGCAGGCGGTGGTCACCTTGGCCGTGGGCATGCTAATTGGTTTCATCTACTCCTGGCAACAGACTCTGTTGACTACCGTCACCCTGCCCCTGCTCTGTCTGTCGGTTTACCTCGAGGGCCGCTTTATCGCGAAGAGCGCCCAGTCAGCCAAGGCGGCCGTTGAGGAGGCCTCACAGGTCGCCGTTGAGGCCATTGCCAATATACGCACGGTCAACGGCCTGGGCCTGGAGCAGCAGGTGCTGGAGCGCTACGTCAGGCAGATTGATCAGGTGAATATCGCCTGCCGTCGCAAGGTGCGTTTCCGTGGCCTGGTCTTTGGCTTGGGTCAGACGGCACCGTTCCTCGCCTATGGCGTTTCGCTCTACTATGGCGGCCTGCTGGTTGCCAATGATGGCTTGCCCTACGAGGACATCATTAAGGTTGCCGAGGCATTGATCTTCGGCTCCTGGATGCTGGGTCAGGCCTTGGCCTATGCGCCGAATGTCAACGATGCCATCATCTCCGCGGGACGCCTGATGAAACTGTTCGAGCAGACGCCCAAGCAACCTAATCCACCACTTAATCCATATAATACAGCTGAGGTGGGTTTCGGATGTTTATGCGAAATGAAAGTCTTTCTCTAATGAACTTATTTCCTGCTTTTTCCAGAAATCGGAGGGCGACATTGTCTATGAGAATGTTCGCTTTGAGTATCCCACGCGCAAGGACACGCCCATTTTGCATGGCCTGAATCTCACGATTAAGAAGAACACCACGGTGGCACTGGTGGGTCCATCGGGCTCGGGAAAATCCACTTGTGTCCAACTTCTATTGCGCTACTATGATCCCGTCTCGGGCTCGGTCAATCTGAGTGGTGTGCCTAGCACGGATTTCCCACTGGACACCTTGCGCTCCAAGCTGGGTTTGGTGTCCCAGGAGCCGGTGCTCTTCGATCGCACCATTGCCGAGAATATTGCCTATGGCAACAATTTCCGTGACGATGTGCCCATGCAGGAGATTATCGAGGCATCGAAGAAGGCGAACATACACAATTTCATTAGCTCCCTGCCGATGGGCTATGAAACGCGTGTGGGCAAGACCTCTCAGCTTTCCGGTGGCCAGAAGCAACGCATCGCCATTGCTCGGGCCCTGGTGCGTAACCCAAAGATTCTGATACTGGACGAGGCGACATCCGCCCTGGATCTGGAGAGCGAGAAGGTGGTGCAGCAGGCACTCGATGAGGCCAGAGCTGGACGCACCTGTGTCACGATTGCCCATCGCCTGAGCACAGTGCGTGATGCCGATCTGATATGTGTACTAAAGCGTGGAGTCGTCGTCGAACAGGGCACACACGATCATCTGATGGCACTGAATGGCATCTATGCGAACCTCTATATGATGCAGCAGGTGGCTGGATAGGCTAGATAGTGATTGTCGGAATCGAGCTATCGCCTAGGACAGTAAACATGCTTTAGACTAGGTGTCGTACCTGGTAACTAGTTGGCAACTAACTAGAGAGCTCATCGAAGCAGGTGTGCCAAATCGTGTTTAGCTTTAAGTCAATTCATTTTGTAGTTTGTATGACCTTTCTGTAGTTGCACTTGAATTCAAGCTCTGAGAGCAATTAATATTAATGTAGGCAATTGAAACCTAACTCGTTATACTAATAAAGCATAGTGATTTATGTATGTAAAACAATATATTTAATTCCTCTCTAAGATAAAGTAGAGCGGGTAAGGATGAGCTGTTTATACGCAGCAGAGCAAGGTGGCTATATTCCCCATTGATATGCATATATTCACCACACTACTAGTAGGAGTCTATGGTGGCTTGCAATACTCACCTCATTCATCCAGAGAGCGTTCTGAGCTGTGCAATCTAACTCTTAATAAACTAAGGGAATATTCATCTATATAGGAGACATAAGTATGCAGATTTCATTGTAATATTCAGTCCACTATACATTTAATATTCGCCACACTCCATATATTTATATGTAAACAAAAAAAGCGAGAACGTAATGGGGTTTTGTGTTCATCTCTTTCATCATATCCAGTTGTAATCTCTGTTTATTTAGCTCGTCATGCACATGTGCTTATATATATGTATGTATATAGGTACATAAACATACACAGCATTCATATATATAACAAAATCAATAAATACTGTTCATAAGAAAATTTGAATTTAAAAGTAAAAACAAATCTTATGCTGGTATAGTGAGGTCTCAGCCTATAGTCGACTATCCACAAGTGGTCCAGGTGTAGCCAAGGCATTGCGACGCTCCTGTATAGCAAAGGTCAACTTGCGAAAGGGTCCCAGTGGCAAGCCAAGCGATTTCAGGTCCGCCTCCGTCAGCAGCATAAGTGTCTCCAGATCAATTTCCTGTTTCTGAAAACTGAAATACACAAATTAAATACAATAAACTGAGTATTTACGATATGTATACGCACACAGGCAAATATTCCTCTAGTGCCCACACAGATAGAAAGCGCTGCAGTGCACTGGCCGACGCCTGTTCCTCATCCTCATCATCGCTGTAGACATCATCGCCGGCGCCCTCGGAATCGGAATCATCGGATAGATTCAGATACAAACGCGCTTTGGTGTTATTTTTGTTGTTGTTGCTGCTGCTTGCATTTCGCATGGTTGAGCTGGAGACGCTATCGATGCCATCCGATTGCAGTTGCAGTTGACTCAGCGCCGCCGTCACTGACCGACGAAAGGCAATGCTGCCCAGCATGGTGGGTCGGTCGAAAAGGCCAACAGGTCGCTGCAGCACCTGCAGCTCCTCGTTCAACTCCTGCGATAGCTGTGCATCGCCTAGTATATCTGGCTGTGAGAAGCTGCGCGATAGCGCCGTACTATAGCCCAGACGTCCTACCTCGTCGTCATCCAGCTCAAAGACATCCGCAATCTTGCCACGCTTGCCATCTTGTTCATCCGTGGAGCTAAATGTGCCCACATACAGCACCTCCGAGTCCCTTTGTAGCCCTGTTAGCGACGTTATTGTACGTTTGCCATCCGGCTCCAGCTCGCGCACCTTGAATCCTCCATCATTCGCCGCAGCATGTGGGCAGGATTTGGAGTGCTGTGACTTTCCCTGCTGCTGCTGCAGCTGCTGCTGTTGTTGTGGCTTCTTTTGCACTGTGCCCATGCGACTGGCTATGGTTGACCCGCCGCTGCTGCTGCTGCTACTGCCCACCAGATCGCTGAATTTGGTAGCGGATGTGCGTGCTGTAGCTGCTGCCTGCTCCCTGGGCGTCTTGTTCAGATTGCCCTGGCTGGACCAAATCTTTTGCTTCAGCGTGGACAGCATGTTGCTCGACTTGCTGCTGCTGCTGCTAACCAATGTCTGAGCATTGCTTGGCTTGAGATCGCAGTACTCGTGCTTCTGCTGCTGTTGTTGCTGGCGCTTCATATATTCCTTTACACGTTTCTCGCACTCCTTTTCAGCTATTTCCTTGAGAGCTTTTGCCTTTTTTCTGTCAATTATATAGTTTAATTAATTAATAAAGTACAAGTTTTAAAATTGATTTAAATATTTGAAATGCGCAACACAGTCTTTGTTATCGATATCAGGCATTGCTATTAAAAGTTTTGCTCAAATTGGCAAACCATTTGCCCTTTAGCAGTCCTTGTTTGCTATCGATTATTTTCAAGTGTAACAATCGGTACTCTACAAACAAGCTGGGCTTATGGTTGCTAGCTGTCCTTGCTTGCCATCGATAACAATTATTGCGATTAATTGCTTGCATAAAATTCGAAATTTTAGCACACTCTAATTATTCAAGTTCATGTTCGCGCCTTACTTTTCATTCGCCTCAAAACTGGCCGCAGCTGCGTCTAAATAACGCAAAATGTCGTCGCGATTATTTATGGCTGCCAGATCCTTGGCACTGTGTCTGTCAATATCCAGTGCATATATATTAACACCGAATTTATACAGAAAATCAACGCAATGCAAATGTCCCTTAGCTGCAGCCAAATGAAGCGCTGTATTCCCAAATTGATCGCACTTATCCGGATCGCCGCTGCAGAAGAATTACTTTACAATATGGCCGGAGTATTTGCTTTCATAATTATTTATTATTTACCCCCTGCCGCATAGTAAGCGCAGCGCATCTAAGCGACCCTCAAATGCTGCCCACATGACGGGTGTCATTGAATCATCGTCCTTGGCATTGGCATCCTTACGCGTTGCCTCCTTCAGCACATCAAGCAGCCCGTCTTTGGCAGCTCTATTCGAAAGCAGAGAACAATTAATGATGCTTGTAGCGCAGATAAGATACGCACGATGTTACGAGGTAGCATTATTAATTGCATGTTCTTTACTCACTTGTGAAAACGATCTGAAGTCATTTTTCCACTTCTTATCTATAGTTGTGTATTTCCATAGACTGCGAACCTGTTTGAATAAAAACTAAATTATATTCGATCTCAGTAGGCCGATCTCGAAATTTTTGCCAGCTAAGGAAGAATACATTAATACTTATTCAGATGCAATACAACTCTAAGTAGAAACACACATATATATATATCTATTTATACTTATAAAATAAAAATTATAAATTCAATATCCTTCAGAATGACTAAAGTGAACAGCAAGGAACGCAATAAGAGTGCAAATAAGATAAAATTGAAGGAGACGAATAAGGACTTCGTTAAGCGTAATAAGCAAGTGCAAATCAAATTAAAAGCCAAACCGTGGCTAGAAATGGAGGAAGAGCTCAATTGGGTAGAGGTCAAGAATTTCAAGAAGGAAAAAATGTCGCCCCCTTTGATCGTCAACAAGTTGGATTAGACTCAGTCGAATTTAAGCACGAGCCAGAAGGCATCATTGGCGCCAACAAGTTGAATTACGTTAAATTATATACAAGCTTTATTTTATGTTGTCCAAAAAACAAAATAACACTAACAATGGACAGGACACAATTTCGATTAATTTATATTTTCAAATAATGAATAAAATATTGAATAATTGGCGATTAAATTGGGTTTTGTTGGTGAATGCATTCATACGTGAGCTTAGTGTAATGGTAAACAAAAAGCCAGATGAATTTTAGGTCCAAACTTCTTAGAATAGTCTCGCATAATGATTGCTTTTTGTGTAAAATCATAAGGATTTGACATGAATGATAACTATTCAAGTTCCATGCATATAAATTCTGTTAGTAAATTCAAAATAATTCCTAGCATTTATCAACACTAGCTAAATGAATAACTCGGCGAATCAAATTGTAATGTCAATGTAAAAAGTTGGGAAAACAGAGTAAGCCTGTTGAAAATATTTCATGTCATATTCAATTCGTTTGAATGATTACACGCACAAAAAAATTACAATCTAATACTTTTACTATCTATATAAATATATTTTGTACAAACAATCCAAATACAAATCTGCAGAAATGGATCAACCGCTAATACAATGCTTGGACCAACTTGACTTGAACTTCAACTCGACTGACGACTTGGCTAACGTGAAAATGAAATGTTTAGCCATTGAGAAGAACCCGTTCTATAAACCATACGATTCCACCGATCTCTATCTATGGAAAAACGAAACTAATTTGAGCCAGCTCAAACTGAAGACATTGAAAAAGAAGAATATCTTAAGGAAACCTATTTTGCAACGTTTACAAACCCAATCACAGCCCCTTGGCAAGGATTGGCTGCAACAATGCAAATTGGATATGGAAAGTGAAGTCACTTGGGTAAACTTTCTAGATATCAAAAATAATGCAGACAAGAAACGAACATATAGCATGAGCGAGTTACAGATTGAGTGCGAAAAGATCCTACATAATGTTGGTGATTTTGACGATATTTACATACCAATAATGTCTGAAATGGCAAAAACCATGTATAGTTAAGATGTTGAAAGTACTTTAGAGTTCATTAGTTTCTTATTTATTTAATATTCAGTTAAGCCTACGTATGTACGTAAAAAACCCCTCTCTTATATGTTTAAAAGAAATCGACCTCAAACGCTAAATTCTTGTCAGATCTATTCACACGTTGTTAAAAAAAAATTGTATGACACTTTCAGTGAAGTGAAAAGGAAAAGCTCGAGCTCACGTTCCGGTTGGAGTTCACACACACACACACACACACACACGAACAGAAATGCACATATACGATGATCATGCTGTACATTCAGGTGGCCAAAAGAAATTACTTGCATATGAATGTATGTGTGTAGTACACACACATATCCAATAACAAGTTCACTCAACCTTATTTCTTGGCTACGAAATGCCCAAAATAATAAAACGAACCACGAAAGCACTCGACCATTAAGTGTATACAAACAAAAAATGTCGTTTGTATTTAGTTTTTTTTTTGGCAAAGTTCACACACGATTTTCCAACAGCTTGACACTTTGTTGTTGTTGTTGTTGAAACAACAAGAGCCGTGGCTTTTCTTTTGCGATCAGCGGAATGGGCAAGCGTTTACCGTCGAGTGTTGTTTGGCAACTGAAACTCTAATTGGAATTGAAACCGGGAGCGACAATTGCCATAGAGAGTGCGCCACACAGTGCGGAGCTGCCAGACCTCATGCCGAATCAAAGCTTAGAATTTTCAAAATTATACTGCTCGAAAGCACTTACAATTAACTTAAGTTTTACATGTGCTGCATTTGGTTAATAAAAAATATATAAAATATAAGCAAATATCTAAAAACGTTGAAATTTGTAATCAAATCATGGTTTAATTTACCCATCGATTGCAGCTAAAATTCGTGTGCTGAGATACACCTGCAGCCCTGGTGCCATGTTCCATGTTATCGATACGTCGTGCGATAGTTATTTTAGGGCCAGCAATTTTGCAGAAAAAACGTAGCCTCGTGAGACACACACAAAACATAAATATAAATAAAAAACTTATCAAAAACTATAAATAAATATGAATATGGATTACTATGTGTAATGTGGTGCAATAGAACATACATGTAAAATGTGAAATACACTGTGGCTGACGAATTCACGCACATTTGTGGTGGTTTGCTGACTACTACACTTGCATATGTATATGTGTATGTATACACCCATACATAAATACATACACACATATGAGTTTGCGTAGGAGGCATCAAAATAACAACAGCATCAGTAGTAGCAGCAGTAGAAACAGCAACAAGGAACTCTTTAGCATATGCTCGATGCATCAATGGTGCATTAGCGTTTCCCGCGTGCACAAGCTCGTCAACGTTCCATGGAAATTCCAGTGCCAATGTCAACAGTCAATGTCAAGGCGAGCTAACGCTAACTAAGTAATTAATATCAACACAAACACACACATACACACTCTGAAAGCCATAGCCCATAGTAGCCAAGTTAAAATATAGACAAGTGTCAACACGCATACACACAAACAATTACACTTACATACACACACAAAACAAATTAAATCAAAAGCAAAAGAGCAACTCATAGAATATTGTTAAGTCCAATCGGCCCGTTGAAGAAGCGTGCATCGCACTATGGGCAATTGCCTGAAATGCTTCCAGTCGTCGTCGTCTTCGTCCGCCGCACCAACGTTGCCAACAAGCCAATCATTACCAAACGCATTGCAAAATCTAAACGCCAACAACAGCTGCCAAGCGGCCACCAGCATTGGCAACTGCTACGACATCGTTCAATCTAATGCAAACGACAGGCCACGAGGTAAGAGATTTCTGACTGAAATATATTTGTTACGCCTGATTATTTATTTATTTATTTTTGTTTTCACAGAAACTGATGAATTGCTCTCTAATCGAACTCCACTCAAGCCAGCAAACAATTGTGATACTAAACGTAATAGTTTTAAGTCCTTAGGCTTGCTTAATGGCAGTGCGCCAACCATGAGCGACATAATAACAACTGGCAAGTGAAACATTAGAGAAACAATATATAAAATGAGGTTATAAAAATATTTATTGTCATTACAGCAGTCAAAGAGTCCATGGAGGTGTCACCTCAAGCGCTAAATAAACTCTTTGAGATCTACAGAGATCCCGATGAAGAAGATATGATACTCACGGATGGCATTGAACGTTTATGCCTTGATCTAAATTATCAGCCGGATGAGTTTGCAATACTTGTGCTTGCCTGGTGCTTGGATGCCTCACAGATGTGCCGATTCACCAGAACGGAGTTCATCGATGGCCTCCATAAGATGCGTGCAGACTCAATTGAAAGCATACGTTTAAGACTTGAGCATACAATTGAGATGCTTAAAGTTGATTCGGAAATGTTTAAGCAGCTCTATCGTTTTACCTTTCGGTAGGTCAATAAGCTATAAAAGGTATTTTATATTTATGTGTATTTGTTTTGCAGTTTCGGCTTGGAGCCAGATCAGCGCGTTTTATCGCTTGACATGGCAATCGATTTGTGGAAACTTGTGTTCACTGTACAAACACCTGATCTCTTTTCAAACTGGGTTAACTTCCTCGATAAGCATCCGAACATACGACGCATACCCAAGGATACATGGAACATGTACCTCAATTTTACTGAACAATGTGATATAGACAATTACGATGATACCGAAGCGTGGCCAAGTCTCTTCGATGACTTTGTCGAATATGAAAAGAATCGTGCTCTGGAAATGGCCACCGTCCACGATGATGACAACAACAATGATGATCCATTGCAATGCCATGTCAAAGCCGGTGGAGATATGCGTCATGTGTCATAGTTTAAGTGTGTCAGACAGTAGCCCAACACACAGCCACACACCCAGAACACCCACACTCAGAACCGATTTGAAGGGCCAAGCGACGTTCAATAGAAATTTAAATCTGTACAATTTTAAAGACGATATTTATTTACGCGCTCTCTCTCACACACACTCCCTGTCTCGTATCGATATCTTTTGATTTCTGTTTTGTTTTTGTTTACTTGCAAGTTGCAACACCTTTGTAGTCGGTCATAGATCAAAACGATGCGGTGCTGGCGCTGCTTGGATGATTCACAACCAACTCGAACAACAAAAGAGAAAACTGCACTCATAGCCAGACAGTCAGACAACAGCCAGCTAGCTGATAATTTAAACTGCAAACAATTTAACACTTAAAAGGAAAGAATGAAAAGGGCAATGGACGCATTTGTTTATAAATTTTAAAGACTTATCAACAAGAATTTCGAAAAAGCTCAATCATACGAAACCACATGTGTATATAGTATATGTACTAAATGACTTGATTCAACTAGAAGAGCAAACACCTTTTCAATGTGTGCAAAATCGTATATATATATACATATATATAAATTATAGCAATTAACTGATGTATTATTTAAAAGAAACAAACAAACAAAAGCAAAATATTAAAAGATTGCATCATTTTATGGCACTTAACTATTTAATTGCATTACAATTACATACTTAGCTCTAAGTAGTGGATGTGAATTAAATAAAAATAAACTAATACAAATTCATACAAATCTTTAAACTTCAAATAATATTTGTGTCATATGTGCCAAGCTTTTATTTTAAGTTGTAAAACGAACGTGCAAATTGCAGAAAATCGATAATTTACATAATTAAGCTCTATTCATTTCAATTGAATTAAATATATTTATTTGTTAAATTTATTTAATTATTCATAGGAGCGTTTTTTTACTATCGATAGAGCAATCGATATTTGTTGTGCCTACGCGCCTATCGATTTTACCAGTGATGTGTTGACTATTGTGCACAAACATATGCACATAAATACATATGTACGTGCGTACTTATTGCATATTGATAAAAAATTGTAAAAATCCACTGGCTATTTACTTTATAGCCCCGATGAGTAAGTAGCTGTGTGAAAGAAATACATAAGCTAAGTGGCGCTTCAACTGCGTCAAAATATTACGCGCATTCTATGCGGATTGATTCACGATTTGACATTGAAAACAGAAATTGCGATGAAGAGTTGGTCATAGAGAGGAGCAAAGGGCAAGGTAACGTTCGATCGAAAGGACATACACGCGCGCACAGACACACACAAACACACCAATAGGAAGATGCCCTGCGAAAGCTGTGGCATTGAATTCACGGTATTTCGCCGTAAACGCAGCTGTTTCGACTGCAGGTAAGTCGAAAATTGATATTGAATAGCTTTATTTGGCTCTATCATCCCATTAAAATGCTTTATTGCAGGCGCTATTATTGCAGCAATTGCCTGACTGGGACGACAGCGGCGACGACGTTGACATCGACGTCGCGTCGCTGCCAGCGCTGTGCAATATTCGCTCAACGTCCTTTGCTGCGCACGGATTTGCTAAAGCTAAAGCCGAAGGATTTAATATTCTATTTGCAATCCAAACATATTTCCACTGAAGGCTGTCTGGGTGAGTGTTTGCCGCTGCGATCATATATATCTATAGACAATCTAATTGGTTTTTGTCTTTTGGACTGTTCAGAGAAGGAAGAGCTGGTTGGTCTGGTGTTGACGCATGTCGCTCAGTCGGATCGGGAGAGAGGCTGTCCGCCTAATCAGAACCAGAGTCCGGGCCGCGGCCAAGCCAATCCCATGGACAGTCTGAAGCAAACGTGCCAAAACTTTTTCACCAATCTAAGTGACAATATCAGTGATTCCTTAGCGTCCTTTGACACAAAATCAAGTTCCAAATCTACGTCAAACAGTCGCCAGGCATCCAATGATAATGGAGCAACAACTCCACCCACACACATCTTTGAGCAGCCGCGCGTGTCCACGAGAGAAATTCCAACGTATGCCAGTGCTGGTGGTGTCCAGCGGACGCCTACGCGGACGCCTAGTATACCGCGAACCAACTCCACAGAGGTAGCGCATGTGCATGTCAGTCCATCCACATCCTCTACGCAGACAACAACATCGCCCACGGCCACGCAGGAGCGCAGAACTTTGGCCACAGAGGCGGCCCGACTGCTGCAACAGGCTGAGCCTGATAACTCGGAGTGTGATTGCTCGGATGATGAGATCATAACCACGTTCAGTGAACGCACATCGCTTAAGAATAGCGAGAACAGCGCTGGCCCGGCCAGCAGGCCAACATTGGAGATCAGCTCCGCGGCTCAAACACCGACCACAACAACAGTAGCAACAGCAACCACGGCTACGGCAACAACAACAGCCACAACAAGCACCAGCCCGGGCTACTCCAAGCAGGGCTCACTCAGCTCTAAAGTGGATGCCTGCGGTGCAGACGCCTCATCACAATCTAGCTTCGAGGAGCTCGGTGCCATTGGCGGCATCTCCGATGAGAGCAAGGCTACGACCGACACGAACAGCAGCAACTTGGATCAGTGGCAAATACTTGACCAAACAAGTAGCAGTCAACCACCACAGCAGCGGCTGCTGCAGGACCAGCGGCAACAGCAGCAGGAGATTGATGCAGTCAATGATGATGAAATTCTGCAGGTGACGCTGCAAACAGAGTCGCAGCCGCAGCCGCCACAGCGTGTTAAGAAGGTAACACGACGACGCTCCGAGGGTTATCTGAATCGTCGCCATCAATCCAGCGATGAT